TTGTATTTCATTAATAAGCCTAAATCAGTTCTCTGTATTTCATTAATAAGCCTAAATCAGTTCTCTGTATTTTCAAACATACAATAAGAAAAACTTATTCATTAACAAATGAATGGCACTGTCATTCATGTGTTTCAGTTTCAATAAACTATTCTTAAAAATTTCTGGTTAAAAATAAGCTAACCACATAAGAATTATCTTTTATCAAATTTTACATTAAAGCATAAACACAGACGTACAGATATGCAGTCTTCACAGAAAACTGTATTAAAAGTTAAATTCTTCACCAATATTTTAGTCTGTTTTTAAAAGAATGCAGCACAGTGTCAAACTTGGCACATGCTTTTAATCAGTTTTGCTAATTTTAATCATTTATAGTCTTTATTATTATTTAAAAATTTTAAAAAACTACTTTCCTAACCTCCAATCACCCAATAAACTATAATTAAATTAATTTCACAGACATACAAATAGTTTCAGTTCCACGGCAGAATAAGACACTGGTAATGCTAATCATCACAACTATATAATAAATTACTTACTTAGCAAATGTGTATATCTTCTGAAAAGAAATAGCTAAGTGTTTATTGTTCATCACACTATGATGGAGTGAAGAAAGTTCAAGTAATTTGTACACATTTTTCACCTTCTCAAGTTCTTCCAGCAACACATCTGTAATAACACAAAATATGTAATAACTACATAAATAAAGATATCCTGAAAATCTAAATGTATGTCCCTTTCTTTCTTCAAGTCTTCATATAATGTGTTAGTTATTTCACACAAGTAATTTCCTATAACTGTGAATAAAATATGCAAACAAAATACTTGTAATAATACACGATGAAATACACAGAAACATTCTGGTTTAAGTTAGAATTTTCTCAATATGTCTTGAATGATAATTAAACCATTTCAGAGTAACAGTTAGTTGGACTGTTTCAAACATAAAATATAGATGATTTATTTTTGTGAGCTTTTAATTTTTCCCAAAGGAACAGAAAAAGGGAAATAAGATCAATTATGAACAACATCTGCAATTAAAAAAAATGTTGTTAGTTCTGTTATATATCTTTGGAAAATACAGATATGCCTTGCAGTTCCAAATTCATCATTTTTTTTTAAATACTTCAAACAGGTTTTCAAAAAAACATAACTTATACCACATTCCAACAGTTCGCAGTATTTTTTATAGTAGATATTAATCCAAAGTGCAAACTAACATTTTGGATCCAATGTATATATTAAATACTTTTCATCTAAAAACTATATAAAACTAAAGTTTCCAAGTAAAATACTTTAATCAATTGAGATAAAATGATTACTTACTAAGCCTTTAAATCTATCCACCATTAGTTCTGTCACAACCTAAACAGTACACAGCCTACCAATAAGTAAACACATACTCCCAACAAAAAGAACACCATTATATAAAAACATGAAAAAAAGGATAGAACATTGCCATTAGCATTTAATGGATCTGCCCTCTGAAATATTGAAGGTATATACATGGTTAAATATTATATTCACAAGATCTGAAATGTGGGATTGCATCCCATTCCTTGCAAAAAAAAAAATGGATGAAGTTGTTCCTAGAAGACAGTTGTATGGATTATTTCAAAGGGAACAAACAATGATGGAACATAAGTGCTTGACAGGGTTTATATCCAGCAATTGGCCTGACTTTCGAGCAATAATTTTTCACTCAAGCTGAAAGACTAGGAGCCACAATATTTCATGCAAGTACTGCATTATCTGGTAAAAACAACATTAGTGTAAACAGGTAGAAAGCCTTGCTCCAGAACTATGTTATAGTAAGCAAGGGTCACTGTCCCTTCACATACCACAAGTTGTGATTGTCCAGCTGACAAATGGCACTCCACATCATGACAGAAGTCCAACATTAAGTCTTGAATTGCAGATGGTTCAACTGGAGGGTTGCCAAAACCAAGTATGTTCACTGTCCAAGAATTGTGCAATAGAATGTAATAGTATCTGTGATGCCCACTGTTGTCAACATAGAATATTGCCTGGAGTAAGGAGGAGTGGCCTCCATCTAGCCACTCTGCCACTGCAGCACATACTATAAAGATAATGGTAGTGAGGCACACGTGTGCTAAGTCTGTTTTGTTGACTTTGGGTGATCAGGTCATGCAAAAACTGTCATTCTCCAGTGTGACTGGAAATGCATTGTTATCCCTTTTCACTGTTGACAGCAGTTCGGTAAATGACCTAGCAATTTCTTGATGACTTTGAATACCCTCCCATCATCCAACTATGAGATATTGTAAAAATATGGTTAATTCTCACAATATTTTAATTTATATCAAGGCTGTTTGTGTTCTGTGGTTTTACTGAGCCAGTACTAATATATTGGGATTATTTGCATATAACATCATGGAGATGGTTGATTTGTGTTTTTGTCGAGTTTCTGTTGACTTATTGGTAGGCTGCATATGTTGATTTTATTGCAATTACAATATAATACAAAAAATATATATATGTAATATTTGCTTGACATTATTACTGACATTTTAATACTCATTTCACCCTTAATTAGTGTCTATTTTTCATCATTCCAAGTTAAATTGAGATATTTCAAATATACATTACTTAATTCAAACACCTCAGACATAAAAAAATAAATATTATTATTATATATATATATATATATACGTAATTGGCCAATACAATGAGAGAGCGATCATTCTACACAAAATCACAGAAGCTGTCCACTGGTCAGTTTCTCACAATTCCTTAGACTCTGAGGCAAAGAAAATGTCAAATGATAAACAACTACAAGTCAAATTGTTCAGGGCCCACTAAAATGTCTAATGATTAAGCCTAGGGGTCTGGTTCTTTGTTTTATTTTTTTATGTTTATTTGTTTTAATAAAAGCATGAAAAGTTGTCTTTGTAGGTAGGGCCTTAAGAAATCCACTTTATTTTCATGCATTTTTGGATTCATTTTCTTCTGACTCCTGTTGTTTTTAATTTAAATGTATTTTTATCACTATTATATTTTGAGGTGTTAATGTATCTTAAAAGTACCCAATACTGTTTTAATAAGAATAGTTGCTTTGTACTAAAGAATGAACCATATTTAATAAAATAATAAAGTTGCATATAATATATGTTGCTTATTATTATATTACCAAAAGAAAGTTTATCTTTATGAAATATAGATGAATGGTAGACCTTATACATAACAAATACCATTTACCAACCATGATCAATTCATATTGTAATGCCTAGTAGTATAATGAACAAACAAACAAAAATTCAGCAAAGAAAGATTAATACTTGCATAACATAAAAAGTAATAATAAAAAAAACATGAACTGTGGCAACACTGACTTAAAAAGATAAATACTATGTATCATGATTAAAAACTTAACCAAATTTTCAACTCCATTATCACAGCAACTGATAGGTGACAGTCCGTTAGTCCGAGGACCCATCACTCCGGATGCCCAATAGTCCGATGATGTAATTTTTTTTTAACATTTAAAATTTTAAATTGATTGTTTGGTTAAATTTGAGAAATTTTATTACAAAAACACCCCAGGATATGACCTAAAAGGTTGCAATTTCTTATGAAAGGATGAATAATGTTTATCACCATTTCCCTACGTTATTTTTTGTTAGCTGCAGAGCCACCATATTTATGTATCATGATTGGATTTGGGAATCTAGTTCTTATGAGTGTATGGAGATTCAGGAATCTTATTCCATAGTGCTGTAACAATGAATGTTATATCCCCGACTCATAAAACACATTGAAAGCTTCCAGTCATTAAAATTATTGTGACAACAAGCCAATGCAATGAGCTGTATGCTAAAATGTTGATTCAAATATTTCTGTTGTTTGTACTTAAAATGAAAGCAAGCCGTCAGGGGCAGCCGGTCCCCCAAAACCCCCCTACATGTACCCTTTAAATCTTTCATTTGAGATTGCATTCATCTATTATGGACCTAAGAATTTGTTTCCTCATTAAATTTTGATTTATACTAAGAAAACCAAAAATCTGTGACAATCATACCCTCAGACTACCAGGTCTTCAAAATACCTGAAAAGTGAGACTTGTGGATAAGACTACCCAACTAAATTATCTTATCCATACTGGCATTTAACAGTAAATAATCATTGAAACTATAAAATCTCTGCAAGCCACAAGTATTCACAAGACATACTAAATGTATCAGAATGTAACTGATGAACAACAAGGGGCCACTTGGTCCTTAAAGGATGTTCTTCACACACACACTCTTAGGGAAAGTAAAAACTTAAAACCAATTTTTTTACTTTTCAGGAAATCAACTCTCATATTGAAATCCTGTAAAGAGTTGGCCAGCCCCTAACACTGACAACACCAACTCATTCCATAAATTAGCCATACTGTTAGAAAATAAAAATGTCTTAAATGGAACCTAGCATAACTTTTCCAAAACTTGTATCCTCTCATCCTATTATCTTTGATAGATTATGTGGTAGTTTGTTTGAGAAAGCTATAAGTATAATCATTGGAAATAATTGACACCGATCTTGCAGAGAGGTGAAAAAATTTGGGAAACAGGAATATATATACTGGTAGGATAACTTGGGCAACAAGGAGTTTCAAAAAAGGATATTCAGAACACAAGTTCAATAATAATTTGAAAGATAAGTCTGTTAAATTTCAAAATAAAACATGGTAGGATAAAGAATAAACTTATAAACTGACTATGTCTTACCTTAAGCATTAGTTTTATTTGCTTTTCATATTTTTCACTCAAGGACTTCTCATGTATTGATTTACACAGTGTCTTATAAGATAAAAAGTTAAACTTTTCCTGACAAGAAGTAGCATCCTAAAAAAATACAAATAATAATTTTAAGAGCCTTTTGAAATATTTTACTTACCAACTTCTCTTAAATCTGGTGGTGCAGCTATTACTGACTTTGGTACAACTGGTGGGGTATTATTAGTAACAGCTATAGACCTTTGCTGGTTTTCTTTTCTACCTGTACTTGAAAATTCAGTTCCTTCATGATAATTTATGGCTAGCTGAACACCAAAGTTTGATTTTTTTGTTGGTACTATTTTTATTTTCTGGATTTGATGAGAAAGTACACTGAACCATAAGCGATAAACTTTATAAGCTTGACTGAACATCATTGTCTGCCGCAACATCTTGAAGTTGATTTGAGACCTAATGAATTGTGCTTGTATCAAAAGTTAGCAAAATAATTTCTAAACGTATGCACCAACATCAATAAAAATAAAACAGCCAGTTCAATGTTTGATCTTGAGATGACACATTAGTCAGTTGATCTTGATATTATTATAAGTTATAAATTTATTTATATTAGAAGCTTTACTATTATAGCTTGTACTGTGGATAGTCATATCCTTATCTGTTAAACTACCCAAGCTACAGACTAAATTATCAGTAAATAAGTAAATTCAAGTTTAGAGTTATACTTAAGACTTAGATGTTTTACTTTTAGAAGTTTACTCGAGTTAGTTACTTGTTGAACATGAACTATATAGTAATTGCTCTATTTTGAAGTTAAATTATAACTCGAGGTACATACAGTGCTAACAGTACAAAGTGAATAATTTTCTTATTAATATTAAAACTGCTAAATATAAAAATTAAAATCACCATATAAGAGTGCTAAACAAAACCCATGCCGTTCATTTTCGTTACGGCTTCGCCCTCTGTAAAACATAATTGGTTTCACGAAAAAAAAAGTTAAAGCATGCAATTTTTCATTTAAAATTGAAAAAGGAAGATACTTTTCTGTTTCCAAGTGACATCATGTTATTACAAATCAAAATAATTATATTTATTTTAAAAATGGCAAATAAAATATTGAAATAGTATAAAAATTATAAATATTTATCTAAAATTAGAGTCCTAGCACTATAACAATAGAATTAGTTAAAATTTGGCAAATTATTCATACTTATTAAATATAACACGTTACTCAAAAATTAGATTTTCGATACTGTCATTTAACGGCTAATATTATAACATCCCATAGACAGTTTGTTTGTTTTTGTTTTGAATTTCTCGCAAAGCTACACGAGGGCTATCTGCGCTAGCCGTCCCTAATTTGTAAGACTAGAGGGAAGGCAGCTAGTCATCACCACCCACCACCAACTCTTGGGCTACTCTTTTACCAACGAATAGTGGGATTGACCGTCACATTATAATGCCCCCACGGCTGAAAGGGCAAGCATATTTGATGTGACGGGGATTCGAACCCGCGACCCTCGATTGTGAGTCGAGCGCCCTAACCACCTGGCCTTACTGTCATTGAAACCATGGATCAGAGCTTTCCTTGTTGCAAGAACTGATCTCCGAGACTTTCGCCCCCCAGCGGTAGAATTCGAAGCCCGTTCAACCACAAATTACATTACATAATTAACACACACCCGTACTACTAGTACCTGTCTTCAAAATTGTCTTAAGTACAATTGAGCTTACTACCCTGTAATTTTTTCATTGGATTAGTCTTAAAAGTGAACCCGCTGTTTCCAAAAGTTTCAGTTTTGTGATCCATGTGTAAATAGTAACAGAAGATAGTCTAAAACTGTTGTTATGTTACCACTACAGCCAGCCCTTTTTGCATTATATATATATGTATAAAAATATTTCTCAATTGAGTAATATATATAAATTTATTTCTTTTGATTGGCTTGTTGAATTTTAAATAAAACTACTCGAGGGCTATTGCGCTATCTGTCCATAATTTTCAGTAATAGGTTAAATGGAGAGCAGTTTAACCAACAACACCCACCGCCCACTTTGGGATATTATTGGCCCTCACATTACAACTAACGGAATTCGAACCCGCTAACTGCAGGTTGCGATTCGAGTGCCCTAACCACTATACCACCCATGGCTAAAACTAATTAATAGAAAATAAATTAAAAATTAATGTAGCAAAAAAGTTTATAATAACAGTAAGCTTTAACCATGAACGTATCTAACTTACTGAAATAGTATCTAATTAGAAAAAAAATAATGTCATAAAGCAATAATCATTCAATTCTTAAGAGTATTTAAGAAAAACATGAAAATAAATTCAAAGTATAAAATTGTGATAAAACGTTTTAGTCATTGTTCTTGCTCAATCATAAGTTATAAACTGCAAAGTGACTAAAAATGTTTATGCACAAAAGAAAATGAATAATTCTAAAAATCCGGCATGTATGAATAAAGTGTTTTTAATGTCATCTGAAAATTAGAGTCTGGTTTGTTTAACAAAGCATTCAAATTATATGAACGCTATGTTTATTTATTGTGTTGTTGTGAATATAATTATACTTATACAGTAAAAGAATACTGGATGTTCCAAATTAACAATACAAAACAACCATTAAAAAATCCCCTATATAGATGCATACCAAATGAACTTACTTGTAAAAACAGACAACAACTCTATTTCTAGACCCTTCTTTAAATAGTTGCATCTTTTACTGATTATTTAACAACATTCATTAAAAAAATATTACTCTGTTTGAATTTACTTTCCAAATTCACATAACTGAAGTTACCTGCTTTCACGAAATCATCTCCTTGTTTCGGTTTTTAAACATTGAGATGAAATGAAATTGAGAGAATTGCTTCGATAAAATTCTGGAATTTAAACTCAATTTCAGCATATTGAATGTTTAGTTACACCAAAATTTATTAATTAAGAGATAAATTTTCCATTTACTTGATTTTGAAGCACAAATACCTTCACAAAAGTTGTGTTTAGCTCTAGCTGTAGGATTTTTGATTTTGTAAATATTTCATTATACATTTGTTTGTTTGTAGTTAAGCACAACGCTACACAAGGTTTTGTCTGTGCTATGCCCACCACAGGTATCGAAACTCGGTGTTTAGCGTTATAAGCCACAGACTGATTTCTTCAAACAGTATCATATAGGTTTGCTGTATAATAAGTCAAGTCGCAGGATATTACAAAGTGATACTGAATTTAACTAAAACTAACTGAATGGACTGACTGCTCATAATTTAAACAATCTTTATTATTCAAAGACACACAACACAGTGTTTGTATACTTGCTTATGGATGCTGGATGGCCACCTTTCACTGGATCCGTGAATAAGTTAGACTGTAATCCTGACTTGAGAGCAATTCCCACTAACCAATTCACTCAGGATCTGATACCTTAATGTCTAAATCTAACATTTCTTAATTAATGTGAAACATCGTATATACCCATTGTGACCAGCACTTCTCAAGTGACTTGTCATTCTCATTCAAACATAGGGAAGCCTGAACCTCGACATAACACATGTCTTACCATTGGAGTACAGAGCTTTCACAAGAGACGGAATTCCGGCCATGTTATCCATGTGCAGAACAAGTGAGACATGAACAGAATGACAAAGGAACAAAGACAGGCAGAACAAAATCAACCTAATAACCTTATTGTCCAGTTTAAACTGCATAGGCTTAGAATAAATGAAACATTTTGAAAAATTCTACATTAAAATAAGGAAGAAAATGCATGGCATACCACAAACAGTCGGAATGGGATAAAGTTTCTGTATTTTTTTATTTTATTGAAAGTTTTGAGAAACTCACTTAGCTATTGAATTACTACAAACTGCTTTGGAGTTAGGTTAGTACAAAGTTAACTATGGTAAATAGAGGTTACATTATAACAGAAATGAATGTTTTGTAACAAAGCAGTCCTTATAAATTAGAGATTAAGTTAAAAGCTTAACTCTTTAAAGCCACCTAATGTTACGTTAGATTTGTTATGGTGTTCTTGAAGTTAAGCTAGGCATGCAGTATTTGTTTGTTTGTAGCTGAGCACAAAGATACAAAATGGGCTATCCGTGCTGTGCCCACCACAGGTATATATAAAAGATTTTCAGCATTACAAGTCTACAGACTTACAAGTGTGCCACAGGGGTAGGCATGTAGTATACAGGCATACGAGATGTTTTCTGTCCCCTTTATTTAGTACTTTGAACTCTTCAAGTTCACAAAATTTTTTCATATTGTTACGTCTCTGGTCGTTAATTGATTTTCCGTAAATTCGTTACGACGCAACTTTAGCGACACAAGTCCTTTCTTAAA